TTGATACCACTGCCTTATACAATACAACAAAATTGCCTCTTGAAGCAATTTGGTCTTGAGCTTCCAAGAAGAAAGGGAAGAATCTTGTAAAAATGAGTTCTTTGACAATAAGCATTAGAAGAAGGATTTTTTTTTCCTTTTAAAAATAAGAAAAGTTTTAAAAGAATTTAGTTGAAAGTAAATACATTTTTAAAAGTCTTAGATTCAGCCAGAGACTTTATAATACACAGTAATGTAGTCACAGACAGAGTGCAGGCTTAAAACAAGTGCAGTGAGAAGACCAGGGGAAAAGCTCAAAGAGTTAGGTTGCCCAAGTTTGACCCATTCAGAAAATGTAACAGAGGCTGCTGCATGGTCCCCAGACCAGCATACTGGCCCTCAATAAATATATACTACAGGAAACCCTTCGTATTTTTGGGTTCAGCATTTGTGGTTTCAAATATTCGCGAAAGCCGAACCCACATTTTAAATACACTTTAAACACTTACCGGAGCTCCGCTCTTACTACTGCTGGGCCCCCGCTGCCGCCAGGCTTCCCGCCTCCCAGCCGCCGGGGACACTGTTCATGAATGCAGACTGCGTTCATGAACGCAGTGCCCTATTCACAGATTTCACCATTCGCGGGGATCACCGGAACATATCCCCTGCGAATGGCGAGGGTCGCCTTTCTACTGTATTAGAAAGGATGCTAATTTTTGTGAAGGTGTGATCTTGGCACAATAGCAAAATATAGCAATGCTACTGTACAGGTTATGGTTTTAGTAGGATCTGAGTCTGTGCTTTTAATCCCCCCTTTATTCTCTATCCTGATGACATTGTTCTCAGGTTTGTTTTGGAATTTTGTTTAGCTAACAACTCTTCTCTTTTTAACGTGTGGAAATATTTTTTTCCTGTGACTCTGAAGGGCTTTGCCATCACAATATTCTTGGGAAGTTTTATCTGCTGGCTTGCATTTTCATCAGTTATATAAACCTCATTTTCCCATAGTCAACTAAAAGGTTCAAGTTTTGCTGTGTCTTTTTGTAATTTAACTGCCATGGCAACTAGGTAGATGAACTGTAAAGAAGAAAAAACATCTGTGACATTCCAAGTGAAAACCAATACTTTACATTTAAGGTGTTTATTTTATATCCCAGATCAAACACTGGCATCAATCAATAAAAACATTTCCTGTACTTCATTCCTTTTCTTTACAGAATGACCAAGTTGACCTTATTATAAGTGTTCTGCTATGTATAACAAAAAAAATAGGACAGGCCACTTAAAGGCTCTTTTATGTCCATCAGGAGGACTTTTTCTTACCATAAATTTAAAAGGGTTTCTGTACTTGGTTCCATTAAACCAACAAGACAAATGCAGTGTATGTTCAAATACCAGATATCTTTTAGAACTGCTTTTCTATTAGTAATTACTTCAAACCAATGAGCAAAAACTCATTGAAGCCAATAATAAAACTCATAGTGAGTTCAGTAGACCCAGTATTTCTCTCTACCTCTGGGTGCATATAAGCCTTTTAAGCTGTTTTTCTTGTAGGTAAATCATTCCTAGAATTGTACTTAATGGTTGACTTGGCTGGGAACCATTCTGATATCCACTGTTCTGAACAGCATTGGGAAAACTCTAATTCAGACTTGTGTAATATAATAATATTTCTTTCTTTGATGTGCATCGTTGGTAACTGTATTTCAAAAGTAGCAGATATTGTTTAATATATTATCAAATACCATTTTAGCTATTGAAATATTGTAATTTATAAATGGTTTGTTACGTCTTTAAAAATATATACAATGAAGACTTCAGTAAGTGTCATAAAATACAAAGGATTGTACAATAAGCTGATAGGATCATAGGAAAGTAGGGCTGGAAGGACCTCATGAGATCACCTAGTCTAGCCCCTGCTCAAGGCAGGACCATCTCTCACTAAGCCATTCTCATCGGGTGCTTGTCTAACTTGCTGTTGAGTATTTCCAGGAATGGAGAGTCCACAGCTTTCTAGCTAGTCTGTTCCAGCACTTGACTACCTTTATGCTCAGAAAGCTCTTGCTAATCTCCAACCTAAATTTCCTCTGCTGTATTTTGAGGCCATTGCTCCTAGCTGCAGAGAAAAGTCTCTATCCTCTTGATAATCACCCTTCAGGTATTTGAAGATCGTTACCAGGTCCCTGCTTAATCTTCTCTTCCTCCAGACTAAATAACTCTAGCTCTTCAGCCTAGGTATGTTTCCCAGGTCTCTAATCTTTTTTGTTGGTCTCTGCTGAACTCTTTCCATTCTGTCCATATCTTTCTTGAAGTGTGGAGCCCAAAACTGGTCAAAGTACTTCAGGTGAGGTTTCCAAGACCTGGCTAGACAAAGCCTTGGCTGGAATGACCTAGTTGGGGATGGTCCTGCTTTGAGCAAGGGTTGGACAGGATGACCTCCTGAGGTCCCTTCCAACTCTAATTTTCTATGATTATGACTCACCAGTGCTGAATAGAGAGGAAGAATCATTTCCCTTAATTTTCAAGTGAGGTTGCAACCCAGTATGCTATTAATACAACCAAGTATATTGTTTGTTTGTTTGTTTTTGTTTGGGTTTTAGTTTGTCTTGGGTTTTTCCTTTTTTTCCTTTTTTTTTGCAATAAGAGTACACTGTTGGCTAATATTCAGCTTATGGTCCACTGTAACCCCTGAGTCCTTCTCTGCAGTACTGCAACCTAGCCAATCATTCCCCAATCAGTATTTGTGCATTTAGTTATTCCATCCCAGCTGCAGGATTTTTCACTTGCCCTTGTTGAATTTCATCTTATTGATTTTGAATAATTTCTTTAGTTTATCCAGGTCCTACTGGATCCTAGTCTTACCCTCCAGCATATCTGCAGCTCAGCCCAACTTAGTATCTGCTAAATGTGCACTCAGTCCCATTGTCCAAACCATTAATAAATGTTACCCTCAGTTCATTTTCCCTGTACTCAGTTCAGTTACAAAGTAGCTACAGCTTACAATTTTTTTGGAAAGTGAAAGCAAAACTATCTTCCTAAGAAAATGAATAATTAACATTCTGTATATAATGATAATAGTAGTAGTAATGATAATTGTAATTACACTAACCGATTATCCCTAGTGACAGCAAATTGAGTTTGTAATACATAGCTGGCCTATTTGCTGAGACTATAAGTGGAGAAATTTGAGAAGGTCCAGAGGCAGGTAACAGAAATGATAAGGGGCTTGGAAAGCAAGTTATATAAAGAGAGGCGTAAGGAGTTAGGAAAGTTCAGCGCTCAGAAAAGGTCCTTAAGAGGGCGTATTATAGCAGACTTCAAATACTTGAAGGGCTGCCATAAAGGTGAGGGAAAACTCATTCTCTCTCTTGCTGTGGAGAGGAAGACACTGACCAGTGGCTTGAAGTTGCAGCAAAGTAAATTTAGATTGGATATCTGGAAAAACTTCTTCAATGTTACAGGCAGTGGAAAAGGCTGCCTAGGAAAGTTATGGACTCTCCATCACTGGAGGTGCTCAAGAACAGGTTGGACAGCCACTAGTCGGGGATGATCTAGGTGTACCTATGGGTATTCTCTATTATGGGTATTTCTAGTGTTTCTGGACTTTGCTGGTTGCCCCCATGCCCCTCTTTCTGCTACATGGGTAAGGGTGTTTTTAGGCCCACCTCATAGGCATTGGGTATTGGCTACATCTAAGGCTGAGCATTTTCACTGCAGTGTGCCAGTGTTCATGCTGGGACCAAAGCCAGGGTCTTGTCCCTCTGCTCAGGGTCAGCGTGATTGCCATATTTGAGGTCAGGAAGGAATTTTATCCCATGGTCAGATTGGTATGAACTATGGGGGTTTTTACCTTTCTTTTAGTGTGGGGCATGGCTCTTTACCCAGGATCTCTTGAGAATATATTGACAACATTTTATAGAAGCAGGACAATGGCTGCTGCTGTTTCCATGCTTTACCCGTGGCAGGTTAGGGTGTTAGGTCTGTGCTGTGTCAGAGTTGATGGTAGTCTTATTTAGGGTTTAGATTATAGATTGCATAGGATGATTTGGATAAGGATGCTCCTGCCTCAGGCAGGGGGTTGGACTAGATAGCCTCTGGACGTCCCTTCTGGCCTTGCTTTCCATGATTTGATGTTTTTAACTAAAATGTTTTTAAAATGTAAATGTCTTTTCTTTTGGGAGGGTGAATGTACCAGTGTTAAACAGATCTGTCTTATTCCTGCTAGGTTCACATTCCTTCACAAACAAAATAAGCTATTGCATGGTCAGGAAAGATGAATTTTAATTTGCTGTTGTTCCTTTGGTTGACTAATGAAGGTGCTCAATAGTATTATAATATTGTTAATTTGTTTTCTTGGAAGCTTTGCAGTTATGTGAATAAGACAAAGAGTCTTTCACCTTGTTTGATTATCTCTGGAGATTACCATAAACAAAACCTCTTGTATAATGAAACTTGTCCTTGTACAGTACTATTAATTTCTTCTTATAAATGTGGTTCAATCTTTCCCCAAATCTCTAGTTCCTTGTGTAGATACACTTGTAGTACTATAGTAAAAAACCCCAAACACAGCTATCTAAAGTTCCTTTTTTTCTTTCACTGAGGTCAAATACCAAACCTCTGATTTTGAGATTTCATTCATACATTTTATGCATCTTACTCATGTGCATACAGATGGATTACCTATCCATTTCTAGTCAAACACAAGTCTTTTACATGGATATGTATATATTTGTTGATTCTGACCAAATAGGGAATAATCATTTCACTTGTTAAACAGACTGTTAATTAAGAAATTTATACCCAACCTCAGGAGAAAGTTAATAGTCTTGGTATAAATTATGTTATCCGAATCCCCAGCTCATTATATCTCTTAACTTATAAAATTAAAATGTCTTTTGGGGTTTGGATAATCCAGTATTACAGTGACCAAAAGAAGTTTTTAGTATTTAGTGGTAATTTTAGCTCTATTCTAAGTCACGTTTATGCTTTATGGTGCTGACTGTAAATTTCTGATTTAACAGGACCTCCAAAGCTGGGTGAATGGTGCTAATGAAAATGGCTTTGTCCTTGTCTCATTTGGAGCTGGAGTGAAATATTTGTCAGAAGATATAGCAAATAAGTTAGCGCAAGCCCTGGCAAGATTGCCTCAGAGAGTTATTTGGAGGTAAGCTGTACAATATCTTCTGGATTTGAGGTAAACTTGAAGAATAGTCACTTTCTACTGAGTTGGGTTGGTTTGAGACTAATCAAATATAGGACACAATGGGCGCATCTACACATGTCACTATGGAGATGTTGTTACTGCGGAAGTACTAAATCATGGTGCAGTAACACTCCATGCTGCACCATATGTGCATCGTATGTGCAGTGCAGTTATTTTTAACAGCTGCTTCGCCATAGTGGTGCGCTATTCTAGGGGAGCTTGTCGCTGCGGTGAAGTAGCTGCTGGTCACATGTAGAAGCCTGCAGATGGTACGTCACCATAGCACATTGCTATGGCATTGTAGTGTCACATGTAGATGCACCCAAAATCTAGATGGCCCAGGTATCAGGAAGAATCTTAAGGGTGGATGCTGCTCCAATGCGCTGTAATTACAGTGCATCAGAACAGACTCCTTTAGTCGAGTCTGCTGGAGCATGGTGATTACTGCACTCCAGCAGCCCCCTGCGTCTTATGTATCAGTGTCCCAAAATTTAAAAATTGGTGGTGGGGGTGCTTGAACTAAATTCGTCAAACGAGCTTTAGTTCAAATGCCCCTGCCAGCATTTGGAAGCATGGGGATGCTGATACACAAGACGCTGAGGCGCTTTAATTAGAGCGACTCTGAGAGCTGCTCTAATTAAAGCGCCATCCCTCCTACCTCTTAAAAGTGCCCTTATAACTTTTTTATTAAAAGGTTTTTTTCCTTCTATTTTGTACTTTTTCATAGAAAATAGAATTACTGCAGTGTCTTTGTGGCAAGGAAGGGCAGCAATCTTCTGGCAAAGCATAATAAGGTTATATACTTGCACAGTTATCAAGACAAGAATAACGTGACAGAATGTGAGAAGATATGGGGGAGCCAGAAGAAAGGAGTTTATATGAAGATATAGTACTTTGGACTTTTAATCATTGTTGCTAGCCAGAGACTTCATACTAGGAAGTGAGAATGACATTCTGTTGATTTCACCTTGGTGAGGAACCAGGGAAACAAACATGACAGAACAAAGAAAGGACTGTCATAAGACTTAATTCAGATGGGAATTCTACCTCCACTCAACCATTTTTTCATCTGCTTCCTATTTCTCAGTTTTTTTAATCTACCAATTTTCCCCTTTACTGCCTATCTTATCTCTGTGTCACTTTACTCTGTTATCAAGTCTCTTCCTTCTCTGCACCTTCTTGCCTGTGTTTCCTTTCTTCCTTGTCTCATTCTAGTCTGTAAAACACAATGGAAGAAAGCCATGGTCTCTTCTAGCTTTCACTTATGTGCAGTCCTTAACAGGAACATTACACAGATGTAGATATTTGTTTCTAAACAAGCATCTTCACCCTGTGACTTGGAAACTTAGAAATCTCTCATGTCTTAAACTGATCCAGAAGCATTCATCTTGCTTAGCTTGCTTGGTAATAATAGATTTGAAGGTTGGAGACTGTGGGGAATTCTGCTTTACCTTAAAAAAAAAAAAAAAAAAAAAGGAAAGAAAGAAAGAAAACCCCCCTCATCTTCTGGTTTGAGCTTATGGACCCACCCTGTCTCTAGGTGTCATCATGTTTAAATTCATTAGTTATTCAACACCAGGCAGCAATGTAAGATAACATGTTAGGACAGGAAAAGCATTACAATAATTTGCTGAGTCTTTTTTTCTATTGAGTCTGTTCAGAATGGGGGACATCACCTTATTTAAATTTTATTGAATTGCCTTTCCCCAGGCAATCCTACTCCTACTGTCATAGCCAATGAATATTTCCACTGTAGTTAAATACATTTTATTATTATTGCCAGTCAGCAATAAGCACAGTGATCCAGTGTGTTGTCCCCCCTCCCCATTCTTTTTTTTTCTAGAATGGCTTTATGAACATTTCCATATTAGAAGCAAAAATCTAAGGTTGTTATATCTAGAAGTCTGCTAAAGATTGTCTTAATTTTGGAAAAAACTCCCATTTTGGAAAATGTAAACCCACTTTTAGATAGCCAAGTCTGACTATAGCACTGCAAAAACTGAAGACATATTTTTAAAGAACAAACGTGTACAATAAATGTGTACTATTTATTGCCAGTATATCCATATATTCATGTAAGGTAAGAGGTACATAGCTTGACAGTCAAAGCTAGTGTCAGGAAACCACTTGGTCACTCTTTTTCCAGAAAGAGTAGAGTTCCAGAACTGTACAGCTCACTTGTGTTTCTGTCTTTTATTCTAGATCTCATGCATAAAAGATGGAAGAAAAGAGGGAAGTTCATATTGCAGTACTTCTTACCCATAGAAAAGAAAGGTTCCTTTTGTTTCGATCATCTGTGTAGAGCTTTGATCCTGGCTTAGTCCAAAAAATCGTATTTGGAGCAGAATTGCTCTATAATATATACTGCAGAATCACTTTGACTCTGATTCTATGGCCTGGGTGTAAACCAGTTTTATCTTTGAATGACTTTGTCTACCAGCTCACACAAATGATTTTGACATGTCCTGGTAGCAAACCTATGACATAAACCATACTACATTCGTCTTTTCCATTCCTTTTGTCTATTTTCATTCTTAGTAGTTTAAAGAGTTGAGAATCAAGCCATTTCATTAATGCAGAATATCAAGAAAGGTCAAACAACTTCTTACAGTAAAGCATGCCAGAAAATATTTTATTGGCTAGCATTAATCGGGGCCTCAACAATTACTCTGTAAGGATCCAGAGATACTGGATATTCAACAAGGAATTCTTATATAATCTGCTATCTTCATTAAACTGGGACTGTTGGCTCCTTTTACTTTTTTTGAAAGGGGGGGGCGGGGCGGCAGTTCTTCTAATTTCATCCATCTAATATATTTTGGTTTTACCACACTTTCCCAGAAACTCTGTTATAGAATAATTTTCACTCTGATGGTGTCAAAACAATTCCTAATTTTGTTCCACTCACTTTATTTTAAACATACAGAACTTTTGCTGATCTGTTTCAACAGGGCCAGATGGAGAGCTATAATATAGATGATTAACACTTACAAATTGGCTTTCGTGTAGAAAGATGTAGAAAGATAAACTAGATTCATTCCTACACCAAAGAAATGCAGCAATACTTGAGGCAAAAGATAACAATACTATACAATAGTTTAGGATACAATATGAACAAATTGATTGTGATCCTCTCCATTACATTCACAGCCTGCTCCTCTAGAAAGATTATTTAAATATCCCAGTGCCTCCTGAGAAATAACATCTTTCCTATTTCAAACAGTGCACATCAGCAGCATTAGAACAGGTTTAACACATTCTAAAGGTTTTCCCACCACTGGGTTTTTCCATCAGCCCACACACTAAAACAAGTAGAGTTTCAGGACTTGTTTCACTCCTGAATTTGAGGTGCCTTCTTACTCCCTCTTTTCACTACTAGCTGTTTGCTGCAGAAAGGTGCTTATACTCTTCATTCTACCCAAAATCACTCTGTGCCTGGAAGGAGTTGGTATGCCATATTACATTCCTCTTAACCAAGGGGTGTCAAACTCATCTACCCCATGGACTGGATGAGTGACGTGGAGCCTGGACCCCCTCCTTCCATCCTTCCGCTTAGTGTCAGATCCAGCACCCATGGCACCCACTCTGGCCACTGTGGGATCTGCGTTTGCATGTGGCCTGCATCCCACAGTGGCTGGGGTGGGGACTGCTTGCAGCGTGGAAACCAGTGTGTCCAGAATGGACGCCGGGGTGGCACAGTCAGGCCAGGGCAAGCATTGTACGTAGCACAGATCCCAGATTGACGGGAGCAGACATCATGCTACATGCAGTGCCTGATTCGGCTGGACTGTTCTGCCCACGGTGACCTTTCTGGCCACTCTGGGATCTGCACTGTACAAGGCACCCCCAGTGGCAAGTGCGCCACTGCGTTACACATGCAGGTGCCTGCTTTAGCCAGTCGAGGCCTATGGGCACCATGTACAGCACTGGTTCTGGACCAGCTGGAGCAGGCACCATGTGAGGTACATATCCAAGAGTGCCTGGGGCAGGCATCTCATGCAGCACAGTTTCCAGAGGGTGCCATATGTGGTGCCTGTCCCATGCCCTGTTCATGGGGCTGGTCTAGGTCAATTCAAACCCAAGGACAGTACTGGAGACCAGATAATTGGGCTCTTCAGGCTGGATCCATCCCAGGGACCATATATTTGATACCCCTGTCTTAACCAATTGTAACCAAAATAATTTTGGGTAAGATTCGTATAATTTTATATTGAAATATGTTGGTTGACAATTCGGGGACAAACCTAGGCATAAAATTATGGTTCACAGATTTCAGTGGAGATGTGCCTGTTAGGTGTTTTCAAACATTATTAATGTCGAGGGAAGATATTTCTTCACCTGGGAACAGGAGGACTCAGGCTTCCCCACAAAAAGTTGTCATGATTGGCAGATGAATAATTTCTTTATTCTTCCCCAGGTTGTAAAAATAAGGCCAGATGAATGTTTTCTGGCAAAACTGTTTTTAGACAGAAAACTGGGTTTTTGACAAAAGTTATTATTGTGTCTGAAGAGAGCCTGCTTTCTATAGCAGATATTGAGTTTTAATTGAAAAAACTTACTGTTTTTAAGATCATGTTTTAATTATTATCATCATTTTCCCTGGAAAATGTATATGAGAAAAATTCAACAAAATTTTACATGGGAAAACATTTAAAAAAGCATTTCCTGAGCAGCTTGGCTTACAAATGAATCTCTCAAAAAGCTTTTAGCTCTATATTGCAAATATCTATCAGTAATTTTTCCTTTTGGAGAAATGAAGAGATGAATAACTAGAAAAATACTTTATTGTTAACGTGTTTTTCATAACTTCCACATTTCTTATCACTCTCTCTTTTCTATCAGGTTCTTTTAACATCATCTCCCCTGTAGCTGAGAGATTGTCTTCCCCTCTCTTGGAGTGGGAGTGATGAGTCAGTATTTAAAAAAATACCAGGAACTTTTTTTTTAGTCACCTGAGTGACTTGATATTTAGAAAGGTAAAACAGTGTTCATTGACTTCAGTGGGAGTTGCTGAATGTTCAGCAATTAAGAAAATTAGGATAGCTTATTTGGTGTTTAAGTATGAATTTAGGAGCCTAGCCTCATGAGAAATTTGAAGATATTGGCCCTGGTCATTATATTCTTTTGATTAGTCACCTTTGGAAGTCTATTTGTGGCTAAAGAGTGTTTGGGCTGTTTCCTTTATAATTAACATTTCTAAGTCATTTTAAGTGGAAACACATTTCTGCTTGTCTCCCTTTTTTCTGTTGTTTAATGGAGGAAGAGAAGTATAACAAATGAACATTTTATGAGGTAAATTTCCCTTACTATTCTTTCATGAAATTATAGCCAAAGATTGTGACATTTTTTTACATTATATAATTTAGAGATAAATAGCATAGCATTAAAAAAATTACACTTGTAGCGTAATTAAATTCTAAAATAACATATACATTATTTTACTGCTAATATGTGGAAGTTTATTACTTACAAAGCAATAACTATATTCTTTGAGCCAAAGAGCCTTAACCCATTACATGGTTGTCACCAACTTAACAGAGGACACCTTCACATAGTTATCATGCAGTCCTGAGTCCATCTCTCCTGTTAAATGGGTGTGACTGCCATAAATCTTTAAACATTTACCAGACTCATTATATATATTCCTACAGACTAGAACTGTCAAATTAACCCAACTGAGTTGCGGTTTTAAGTGGAGTTAGGTACCTAACAACCTCAAGCTCCTTTGAAAGTAGTATTCACTGCAAACAGGGCTGCCTGAAATTATGATTCCCTCCGGTGTCTTTACTAGTATCTTTTCTAATTAGCTGACTTAGCTCATGCTCTTCTCCTACCTCTTAACAGCATTTCCTTTTCAAATTAAATTAGTATCAGGAGATAGTTTAGACTGAAAAGCTGAGAGGTCCTCAAATGTCGAGCTACCTGTTGGCTTCTTGACATGTTGATTCAGGAGTTCTTACTAAAGAATATAAATGATAGTAGTAATCAGAGAACACTTAAAGCGGAGCTAAGGAAATGTCCCGCTCTACTTAATAGACTTCAGCCAATCAGAATAGAAGGATTTGTATATTGCACGGGTTTTGCAAAAGAACTACACACACGCGTGCACGCACACACACACTGCCAACAATAGTACAGGAAAATTGAGTAATTAAGGAATCATTCTGTAGTTTTTGTTCAGTTACTTTACAGTATTTCAGCTGTGTGGCTGAGATATTTACATTATACGGAAATTGAATTAAGTCCTGTCTACATGGGGTGAAGATCTATTAAAAATTCAGGGACCATTTAGTTTGATGGTATATTTCAAGACTATCAATTTCAGAGTTTTGAGAATTCATTTTGAAATAATTCTGTCTTATGTCTAATTTAGGTTTTCAGGAAACAAACCGAAGAACTTAGGAAACAATACAAAACTTATAGAATGGCTACCGCAAAATGACCTCCTTGGTGAGTACACAGTGTAGTAGCCTGAATCTTTTAAATCAGGGTGTATACAGTTCAGACACTTAACACTGTTTTACTGTAAAATCAGTTATTTAAAACACCAGGATGAAGCACCTTCTTGGAAAGGTCAAGTCCTGGGTTCCAGTCCCTTATTCCAGGATGGTGTATGCATTTTTGCATTAGGCAGTCATTGGTTATAACCTTGCATCAGTGACTGGAAAGTAGGTTTCCTTACAGTATTGCTTGCTGTCCTCCTAGCCCTATAACACTGGAAATCTTATCTGTTCAGTAGTTTACCTTGAACAGGGGTGAGAGTGGGGGGTCAAGAATGTACCACCCAACCTGTCCTACAGCGTGGTGGTTATGACACACAATCCTTAATCAGGCTGAGGATGGCCTACAGCCCATTTTTTGGATCATGTTCTAACATCTAGGCTGTTCTGTAAGACCAGGTAGCACCATCACCAGCCATTCATTTAAAGAAAAGAGTCAGTCACTCAAATATCCACACATGAAGGGAAAACTTAGGTTCCTAATTCCATATAGATATTTAACTCAAGACTGCAAGTAGAAGACTGTGGGCACATTTACATGTTGCTGTACTTCCTTACTTTGTTTTGGAAATACTAAAGCATGGTGCAGAATGGGCATTTATTGCATCATGCGCATGGTGCATGGATAGATTTTGCCACTACATCGCCCTAGCAACGTGCTATACATGTGATAGCTAAGTTTCTGTAGCTCACTGTACAGCGACGTATCATGTTGATATGTCACTGTAGGGCAACATGTAGACACGCTCTGTATGTCTGGAACAGAGGCAGGATTTTTGAAACGTCTGTCTCTTCAGCATTTCTGTTGGTTATGCAGTTCCCTGCTCATATTTCTAGTGACTTAGCTATCTGCATTTAAAATGTGTGGAAATTAATTGACTAATATGGGGTTGAGTCTGGCTCTACTACTAGAGCTTGGTACCATTTGATAAAATAATATTACAGTTAGACCATGCCATCCCAAAGCAAGCCCTATAAGAGAAAAGAAGAGTCCATAGTGGTGTCATTAAATGTCTAAGAGTCATTAGGAGTAAGAATAGTATCCCCAATGTATTTAAAATGGTGTACCAATGGTAATAATCAACACTAGCCAGCCAACAGTAGATACTTTATATCAGTTATTTTTAATCACTCATGTAAAATGATATTTTTACATTGTTGATATACCTCATTTTGTATATTAGATTATGAGGAAATAGAGAACATGTATTACAAAATAACTGTGGCCTTGATTTAAGAAGATGCGCAAGCATATGTTTACCTAGTTTGAGCAACTAAATGTACCTTCTTTAATCAAAGCAATGGAAAGTTGGCACTTGTTGGGACATATTTAGTAAAATATTTCCTATTGGTTTTCACATTAGATTGGCAGAAGCTGACGAATGAAGTAATTGGCCTTTTACATCTATAGTTTCAGTGACTATAATATATTCATGTATGTAAAGCATTTTCTTTCCTTTACCTCACTGTTCTTCTATTTAGGTCATGCTAACATTAAAGCCTTCCTTAGTCATGGTGGTTTGAACAGTATTTTTGAAACCATGTACCACGGGGTGCCTGTGGTAGGAATTCCCCTTTTTGGAGACCATTATGATACTATGACCCGCGTACAGGCCAAAGGCATGGGAATATTATTAAACTGGAAGACAATTACTGAGGGTGAATTGTATGAAGCTCTTGTGAAAGTCATTAACGATCCCAGGTAAAGAATTGTTTTTCTCTAATTTGTAACTGTGTGTTAAATGTTTACAAAAATATATTTGTGCATTAAAATATTTATGCAAATCAGGATTTGTATGCACAATTGAGCACAAATAATACAGTCTTTTGGTGCGACCCACAAGTGGGAATGTGTGTTTCCCCAGGGACAAGTAGCAATGGTACACTGTGCCCCAGGTAGGGTAAGGGAAGCTGAGGCCAGCAACTGTGCTGGCCCCAGCAGCCTTACTTGGGGTCCTGGGGGCCTCTGGGAGCTGCAGCTGCAGCACTCCTGTAGGAGGGAGCCTGGCCAGCAGCCAGAGTATGGATCCAGCTGGCCAAGCTCTTGTTTTGGGTGGCACGCATTGCTGCCATGTGCACCGCCCCACTTTTTTTTAGGCATGGGTTTTTTTGACCCCAGCATCTCCTGGGGTCAAACCTCCCCATCACCCAACGCTGCAAACTAGCAGTGCAGCGAACACCTGCATATGCGGCATGTGCAGCATTGGGTGCTGGAGACGTCTCTGTGGCGCCACATACTGCACATCTGTGCTTTTCTGGATGTGCCCATTGTCATTGTTACACAAAGTTGATCCTTTAAAATGTGATCTTGTGTGTGAAGCTGCTAAATCTTTCAGATATCAAGAACATTTTCTGTCATATCACACGTCCTTAACTTATTTACAAAGATCAAAAATAAACAATGTTCAGCAGTCACAAGACGATCCCTCACCTCTCACCATTTATTTCCCAAGGAGAAAAGCCATGATGAAAACAAACATAGAACTTGATTTCACTTTATCCCACACTGCAAAATGATATCTCAGTATATCTGTTATGATGGCATTATTAGTAAAAAGTGTTGGCATCTTTTGTTTGCAGTATTTCCTTTGGAGGTTTAAATATATATTTTATGCATATATTTTGCTCCATCAGCTGGAATATTCACATTTTAAAGTTTATTAGTCCCATGGTATAAATAAAAAAAATAGATATGAAGGAGGACTCTGCCTATCTTGTCCTTAAATTCAGTAGCTTGGTTTTAAGGGTTTTATATTGGTTTTTGTTCCCCCGCCCTTCCTAACAGGTAGTTTATGTTGGTTGGGCTAGGTGTGTTATGGAGGTTTGTCAGTCAAGTATTTGTATCACAACAAAAGATTATGAATCTGCAGGATCAAGTGTGCATCAGAATTCAGCTGGATTCAGCAAAAGTTTTGATTCATGAATTGGATTTCATGATAGCATGGCTGGACCTCATGTTGTGGTCATTTTTTCATATGCACATTATTCCAACTTAGTTTGAATATTAATCACTTCCTTCTGCCCATCTTCGTCTAGTATCTGGAGTCCTCGTTCACCTGGTAGTTACAGGATAAAGCTGATTAGTTGAATTTTCCTCTAAATCTGGCAGTAACTATCCAGACACTCTGGATAAGGTATCCACTCTGGGGCATACAATGACAGAAAGAGAACAGAAAGAGCTTTCAGCATTGGCAGGTTGGAGACTGAATAGTCTGACAGGCAATGCACTATTCAGCATGAGCATGAAGGGTAAAATACCTAGGATCCAATGATACGATTACCTGACCTAGATGTAGGTAAAATATCAGGATGACATGAATGTGATATAGTAGCCAAAGCCTTCTCTGTTTTCTTGTGCATGGAAGGAATGTGTTGTTCCTGTTGAGTTTTATAGACCAACATTCTAAAATTCATTGGCTGAATCAGACCTAGTCTCTCTCTGCTACATTGTCTGAAGATTTACCAATAATGGGGACGAGATAGAGGCCTGACGGCTCTCTAGTCATAGAAGAATGTAGAAATGTTCTTCTTATAGATTTTAGAAACTTTATATGTGACAGATAGTGAGACTTGAACCCAAAGCATGTGGCTTCTGTCATGATCTTGTGGTAAAGGAAGTTCCACCAGTGTGTGGGCTTGAAGAAAGGACCTAGGAGAAGTTACAATATCTGATAATAAATTACTGTCAGCTGTTAGTGAACAAAACCAGCTTGCCTGTGTAGCCTTTGACTGTGTGATTAATATCATATGGCTCAGAACAGCACTGCCATGGGTAATAGTTCATGTTCTAGGGAGCATTCTTGGGTTTACACCACAGCTAATGTAAGAAAAATCAGACTAGAGAAGTACTAAATGCCTCTTGTTCAATAGTGTTCAATAATATTAAAGTGTTAGAGAAGGAGTGGTTGTATTTTAGATAATATTCCAAAATCAGCCTTGTCATTTGTAGTACATAATCTCTCTAAATTAAGTAGTTGAATGTTGCAGCTGGTTGTCTAAGGCATTATACTGTAGGAGTTTTTAGAATACACCGGAGCAGAGTTTACTGAATTGATGGGACAGGGTTTGTGGGCAATCTTTTATTTTTTTAGGATAGAACAAAGCTATGACCAAATAAATTAGTTGGTAGTAACAAGATTTTAATTAAAGGGAAAAATAGCTGGGGAATTTTATGATCCACAATCTGAGGTAAGAAGTCAAAGTCCTATTAATTAGTAATATCCTTGTCCTGCAACAGAAAGCAGAAAGAAGTCTTCTATGATCAGGTGACTGGGATGTTCTTTTCCTTAAAAACTAAAAGTTGGCATCCATGTCCCAAATGGGAAGATTTGATATTATATAATATAAAAAGCTGTTCTGTTAAAACTACATTAGAGATAGTGAAACATCACTTTACAAGAATATGTCTCTACAGGAGTATAAATGAACACTGTATTGCACCTCGTTAGGAAATCCTCGTTATTCATGGGTTCGGCATTTGCGGTTTCAAATATTCGTGAATGCCGAACCCACATTTTAAATATACTTTATACACTTCCAGGGGGAGCTCTGTGCTTGCTGCCAGCAGGCTCCTGCCGCCACCACCGGGCTCCCGCCGTTGCCGCTGGAGCCGTGTTCTCCCCCCACCCCCCAAGCCGCTGAGGACACTACATTCATGAATGTAGACTGCGTTCATGAACGCAGTGCCTTATTCACGGATTTTGTCATTCGCGGGGGATACGAGAACATATCCCCCGCAAATGGCGAGGGTCGCCTGTATGTGTATTCTAGATAAGAAAAGATTTATTTTTATGTGTTGACTTATAGAGGGAGGGAGAAACATCTCCAGTGTGACAGTTAATATTCAGTATGAAATTCAGGCCAGCACAAGACCTTTGTATCATTTTAGAACCCTCTTCACAGAGGTAAACATCACTATATCAGTGCATGAACGTGCATTTTTAATATCCATTTTTTCATGCTTTTTACTGTTACCTTGAAGAGGATTTACCATGATGTACGAGGGCTCCTGAAATAGCTGCAACTGCTACTCTTTGCCATTCTCAGTTATACGACTTACCCAAAAGTGTCCCATGCTGTTCAGATATGTCCAAGGAGCTATGGGGATATTTAAGACTGAAAGCTAGGTAATGTTCTTAATTTGTCACTTGATTTGTCTCTTTCCCACACAGCTACAAACAACAGGCCCAGAAGCTGTCTGAAATTCACAGAGACCAACCTGGGCATCCTGTTAATCGGACAGTATACTGGATTAACTACATCCTCCGCCACAACGGAGCACACCATCTGCGTGCGGCTGTTTACAGCCTGTCTTCATATCAGTATTTCTTACTGGATATCACCTGTGTTGTATTACTTGGTGCTGCCTTATTTTATTACATTTTGGCCAGGATTGCAAAGTTTATTCACAAAAAGAGCAAACATCTTTGGTCATATGATGAACATAGCACCGTTAATGGACATTACCAAAATGGGATCCCAAATGGCAAATATAGAAGAAATGGCCACATTAAACACGAAAAAAAGGTGAAATGAGCCAACCATCTATGTACAGTAGTAACGAATCAGATCCATAATTGAATTTTATCGCTGTAACTTAGTCTAACAACTACTTAAAATAAAACCTCAATAAACAGTTCTAACACTCCCCTACAACATGTAATTTTATGTGATGGAATTCTACAGAACTAAGAAAAGTCTTAAAACAAAAAAAAGCACAACCTAAAATAGAAAATGTATTATATTCTTAATACTGATGCAGAGAGGTTATTTTGGCACTGATGTTTTTACAAGCCTTAATTCTCCAAAGTAATTCAATGACCATATTTATGATTTCTCAGTTTTTATATCTGAATGTGTATGTCCCAGATAAGGAAAGGTTTCTTTTTTACGCGCAAAGTTTTCCTTTTTTGTAATATATCCATCTGTTAGCTTAACGGATTTTAGAGCTAGCTCTGTGTTATATTGGTTGAAGGTTTGACATGTTTGTAAGAATGATGTTTAAATAAAGTAATTTTTACCAGTGGTTGACACGCAGCAATTAACAAGTTGCAGATTGAGAAAGCAGCCATAGAAAAGAACACTCTCAAAAATGAGCACTGAAGAAAAATGGTAAAAATTGCATTTTTTTCTCCCCTAGACCTCTTTTCTCTGACTGCTTTAGAGAAAAGGATGAGAGAGCATACAAGTTGTCATTTCTTATTTATTTACATTTTTGTGTTACCTAAATTATTTATGCTCTCCATAAAAAATTGCAATTTAAGTTTTTGTGCTTTTCCCCCCATGAATAATATGCCTATGTGGGTAAAATTATAATTAAGAAAAACATAATTAATTCATAAAATAGAAAAAATATCTGGCCTTGAGTTCAGTCTAGAAGGTTTTACTTCAGCCTTGGAGTAATTCAGAATCAAACCATTATTTGGGGTTTGTTGAAAAAAAAAAAGTTGAATGTCTTTCCTATGAATTATTATGATGTTATTATTAAGTTTTTTCTAAATCACAATGTTATCGATGTTCTCTTTCAATAGTTAAAACGAAAAAATATTACCTTATACTGGTCTGGGCCACACAATCCATGTTACATAGTTGCCAACATATAATTCTCTGAAAGTGGGATGGAAGCTATTCTCTGGGTTGGTAACCAATGTATACTTAGAGGTTTGATATCATGCATGACATTAAACCTAGCAAACTAAGCATAAAGTTCATAGAGATTGCCTCTTCCTTTCCCCGCTACGGTCCCTCCCCACAACAATCTCTTTCAATCATTGTAGCTGACATGGGACTTGTATTGTTTTCAAATTGAGGGTGGCGATGCAGAGCAATGAGCATAAAATCATAACTGCCCTGCTGAACCAAAGTTGGCAGCTATGAGCTTATTTCCATGTCATTCTGTTTACTTGGAATTTGCACTACACATGTTGTGAGTGTATGCTTTATTTATTTGTAGTTTGAAATCCCATGTCTGGAAGAGAAAAGAAAGATACCCATTTATCTAGTGTTGTTCACTAACATGGGAGAAGTTGTGATAATTACAGAACGCTGAGATCATCTTCATACACAGTGATGTAATGCTTCATTATCATTCCATCAGGAGCCTCTATCCTATAGCAATAAATAACATTACAAATATGTTTCTAATGTACAGTACAGATATTTGTACTGCTTTCTGAATACTTGAAGAATATGGTATTATAAATAAGCCTGTTAGTTATATCTTTTTACAATCCTATCGGTATGTGGCAACTAAAGGAACATATAGAGGCGATGAGTGGTGGGATGTTAAAAGGACTTAGAGTGTATGAATGGGTTGGTTTTAATGTTTTTTGGCATTGAAGAAGGTACAAAAGCACTGACCGGATGATTAAGCATAATTTAATCTCCACTGTGATAAAACTTAAGCAATAAACATGGATTTAATAGAGAAAATCTGTTGTTGCAAGTACATTTTTATTCAAATGTGTGATATTTTTGTTTATGTACTTTAACCAACACAAAATGTGTGTGTGTATATATATACATATGTTGAAATATGCATATGTTGTACCATACAGTATATGCTCGCTCTCTCTCACAGTTTGCTTTGAAACCAAATATTATTATATTTTGTGGTCCTTTTATTCTTTTTATTGAAAGCATTGTTGACAAAGATTATAGCTTTGACTTCCACTGAATCCCTTGCCAAGTTAAAAAGTGTGGGAGTTTAAGATTTTCCAACAGTTAATACTAAAATCTCCAATAAAATACAGTTTGCAATAAGCTGTTTTTTTGTGAGGCAATGTCTGTAAGTATAGGTAAACTGATACACTGGTCCGGTACCAGATCAGCACCGATATAAACAAAATTGTATTGGAAATCGGCCTGATGTGGCCAATAATTTGTCCAATAAATGGCTGGTGCGTGCACGCAGCCGCAGCACAGTATGTAGGCAGCAAGGAGCACAGTCCAGCAGCTTGGAGAGCTGGGTTCAGCTGGTAGGTCTGGTGTGGTGGAAGTGGAGGGGGGAGGGAAGGGGCATGGGGACACAGATCAAGGCCCCCATGGTGAAGGAGGGAGTGGGGCTCAGGCGCTGCCCATCTGGGGCAGGTCAAGGTGCGGGATGGAGCCGTGGCTCCTCCAGGGGGTGTGGGAGGGGCAGCTCCTGCCACTGCGTGCACCCCGGAAGGGCATGGGGGGCATGTGCCCATGGATCTGTGCAGGGAAGGGTGGTTGCCACTGTGGGTTAGGACCAGGGCTGTGCCAGGCTCTTCCCAGCAGGGGCTATGCCGGGTTGTGCTTGGGGCAGGTGGCGCTGGGAAGGTGGGTTGAGGGGGGCTATGGCAAACATTGAGGTAGCTGCAGCTCCCCCAACCCCTCCTCCCAGTGTTGCCATTGCCCACCCTGAGTGCATCCCGGCCCAGACCCCACCGAGAAGAGCCCAGCACCGCTCTGGCCCCAGACCACAGCTGCAGCCGGCCCCACGAAGATCCAGGCAGCACACGCCCCCTCTCCCCCATGCCTTCCTGGGGTACAAACAGTGGCAGGAGCCACCCCTGTGCCCCCTAGATGAGCCGCAGCTCCTTCCCGTGTCCTGCCTTGCCCCAGCTAGGCAGCACCTGCCCTTGCCCAGTCCCTCCCTTACCACAGGGACCTCAATCTTCCCCATGCCCCTTCCCTTCCACCACAACAGACTTACAAACTGCATGCAGCTCATCAAGCTGCCTGGCTGCGTATGGGAAATCAGATATCATATCAGAAATCAGATATGGTATCAGCTGATATGCCTCCTTAAAAATCTGCTATCTGTATCAGCCCCAAAAATCTATATCTGTGCACCCCTATCTGTAAGTGGTTATATCTGGGCATCTCTAGGGAATACTAACAAACAGAATATTAGATCAAATATTTGATTTCTAAATAGCAAAGCTGTCATGTATGAGCCAATTCTAATTTAGTATGTTGTGGGAATATACATCCATTATGCATTTTTATACCAAACTGTTTTTAGAAAGGTTGCTTTTTAGCTTGTCTTTGGCATTCAATCGGACACTTAAATTATAGAATTAGTAAAATACAGATATTGCTGGGATGCTGGGTTTTAAATACAAAAGGCCTGAATTTTCTACTCACTTGAACATTGAGTAGTCATTTATAGCCATGGAAAGTGAGTGCGAAATGGTTTTAACTACTTCTATTAGACCGAGGAGAATTTTTATTTGGTAGCCTTTTATGTTTTCTTGTGCAGGTACAAATAACTAAGAACAGAATTATTTTTTCCTTTACATGCATAAATGGCAATTATACAGCTACATAACTGCTAGTTTTGGCACTAACACAGTGTGTGGAAGTACATGACTAGGCTGTGCTGTGGCTTGGAAGGTGTATGGTTTTATGTGTGCATGTTCTAGGCAAGTAGAAATCACAAAATTATACCCAACAAAAACCACGATATTAAGTGTTGGAAGAGAAGGAGGAGGGCTCTCCCATGTTTTAGCTCAAGACCACCAGGCCACAGGTTAAGCATTATCTAGTCCCCTCTGCAGTCCTCTTCTTGAAGCTGAACCAATGCATCATAATATTCAGTGGATGCTATGGGTGGAGAGCAGTTTTGCCCCAGGGTGTGCAAGGATCCTGATTAGAATCCAGGGTCCCCTTTAATTCCAAAGCAGCATTCAACTCACTGAGGTCTGCTTTTGTTCCCCTCCCTCTGGCTCTACATATCTCCTTGTCTTGACAGTTCAAGGATCCAGCTTCAGAAGGAATACTGGATAATGCCTAACCTGCTGTTTGCTGGTTACAGCACAGTACTCAGAAGGTGGTGAAATGTAGGTTGAAATCCTTTCTGCCAGTACTCTTTATACATATTAATTATACCGTCAATTGTTAAAAAACAAAAAATGAAATCCTTTCAGAACCATAGACTCCTCAGGGCAGTGATGTAACCACTAGGCTGCACAGTTAGGGCTTCAAACTCAGGCCTCCCCCTTCCTGAGTGCTCTAACCACTAGGCTATTACATCTAGTGGACAGTACTAGCTGTATTTTGTAATGAACTATGTGCATGCTCTCAGGATCAAGTACTTCCTAGGCATGGTCTATGGCCACTTAAGGAATTGGGCAGTTAGCTATTGTGTATGCTCTCATGTTCAGTGGTTTCTAAAATCCATCTGAGACTAGGTGTCTCGGTATTTTTTTCAGCTAAAATCTACAAGCCTAAGGAGCTTTGTGGTTTTGGAGCAGGATTGACCTGGACTGCTCTTTCTGCGTTAGGCACAGTGATACTATGATGATTTGATTGTGGTCCAAAGTGCCCCCAGCTGCCATACTTCAGGATTGAGCTGAGTGGACTCAGCACCTTCAATGTCAAGAAGAGGCATTTGAAAAAAGTCATTCCAACTTTTAGAGTTGTTCCCCACTTAAGCAATACTCTCCTTTTTAAGCACACGCAGTATCTATCCTGACCATCTTATATTTGTGTATTTGATGTAATCCTATATTCCCATAGGTTTGCATTTGGGTTTTCATCAAGTCAATTGCCAGCTTCATATGAGCTTTAAGAAGGATTTCAGATATTCCCACATTTGGCTATATTCTAAATATCTATAAAGACAAGAACCTACCTTTTACTCAATAGCTGGTTGGAAGTACAAATGCAGGTCAAATATTCCATGGGTATATTTTGTAATGATTTGTAATTATTTACGCCTTTCAGTGCCTTTGAAAATCTTAGCTTTACAGGAATGTATATACATCAAGTAGATCCTAGACTGAATCATCTGCTTAACCTGTGACTGTTTGGAAATTATCCCTTAGATTTTAGGAAAAAAAAAGATATTACATTTGTATGTATTACATTTAGGGAAAAGACAATTTTGCACTTCTACTTGTTTTAAAATTTTACAAAAGTAAAAAAAACCCAACTCTCAGGCACATAATATGTCTGAATTGTATATTAGCCTGGCTTTGCTATTTTGACATACAAATTATATTAATTAATTAATTAATTGGGAACTGGCATTCCAAGAACCATTATCTATTTTTCTCTTTTGATTCACCATTATGACAGGTATTACTATTATAATTGCTATTATCAGCGGTAATGTTTAAAGCAAATAGACTTCATTTAAATTTGTTTAAAGCAAATAGACTGCATTAAAAAGGGTTCCTGAAGTATTCTAGGTAAGTATTCTTTATTTGAATGGTTGTTTTCTGTATAGTATCTGATCATGATTCAAATTTCAGACCCTCTATGGGAGGAGCGGGGCAGGGGGCAGTATGGGCTTGGGAGACATGCTCATCTTCTCTGGGTGTGAAGCAGGAGAGTGGGAATGAGTGAGCAGGTGGGAGAGGAGGGAGTATAAAGAGGTTTTGTATGAATGAAGGGTTAGAAAGTACAGTTGGGATATGGCATAGGGTTTGTTTTCCTGGGCATTATGCAAGGAAATGGAAGGGAGTGAATGGGGTGGGGTGCTTTAAAGTTTTAGGGTGCCAACTGGGGAGTCTGATGTCTTTTTTTTATCTGGTGGTTTGTTCATCTGCTATTGTAAGCCACTCCAAGCCTTTTCTGGGTAGGGCAGGGCATAAATCACCATCATGATTTCCTGTCAGTTGCTGAGTGTGTCATTTCCCATGTACACAGTATCTTGATCCAGAAAGCTTGTAGTCCCCCTGTTTTACAAAACATTGATTGCAGCAGGATTCCCTGAACCTATATTGGAGATAACAATCGTAATAGCCTCAGAAGAGCAATGAACCTGCCAAGTCCATCTACTGTATATGGCATGTACTATCTTTCTCAATTCAAGCATAAGGTTTATGGCAGTTGAGAGCACTGAACTTTCTAGAGCAGTGGTTCCCAAACTAGGGATCATGGGATTAACAAGTTAAGAGCTTCATAGTACATCTCTTAGAAAAGCTGGTTTTGTAAGAAAGCTTGGAAAGAATGAGAACCACTATTCTAGGATGTGTTCAGTTACTTGCAGGATTGGGGCACCTCTGCCCCAATCTTGAAACTTCATTTGAATGCAAGGACTTCTATGCCTGTAATCCCATTGTTTTTAATGTTTATATTAGGGGTTACATTGTGCTGTGATTTAGACCTGCCATTGATTTCTATGAGACTGCTAGGGATGTGACTCAAGCCTGATTTGCAACAAGTATTCAGTAGTGCAGATAATAAGTAATCCTCCAGCTATTTTCTATGATGTCAAGTCCAACTCTAAGATTTCAGTGTGTATGTGTAGGTATAAGTGAGTCCTGAGTTTGTTTGTTTGTTTTTTTTACAGACCTCTAAATCTGTAAGGAACAAAATGCTGCTTGATTCTGTTATGCCACTGAGTCATGTCAGAAGGGCAGTCTTTGGACTTGCTTCATTCTAGTAATTTGCATGGGTCCAAGGAACAGCTTTCATAAATTTAAAAAAAGTGCTTGCAGAGAGCCTTGGGAAAAAAATGTCAGCATGATATTCTGAGCACCTAATTTTATGGTTCTTCAGTGACTGTGCTAGTTATATAGGAGGAAATATACTTAACGTGTTAGCCAGTCTTCTGCCCTGGATTGCAGTTGGTTGCCCAACCCATGTTTCATTTAAGGAATATTACACATTTCCATATAACGTGGCTTATTTTTTAGAATTGTATGAATCTAAGTGTAACATAATACTATTAAAATACTATTATATTCATACAGTTCTAAAAAAGTAAGCTGTGTTATATGGAAAGGGCATTGCATCCCATGCCTATATAAAATATAATTATGTTAGAATCATATTATAACACACTGAAGTGGGCCAAGTTAAACTTCCCATTAGAGATCTTTTGGGAGCAACATGAATTGGGGTGCAACAGCATTTTAAGAGCAGGTATTGCCTTGAGCAGAAAATTGAACTAGATGACTCTTTAAGGAGACTTCTAGCCCTATTTCTTTGTGATTCTACAACCTTATAATTTGATAATGACAGAATTTTAACAAGGAGCTCCCAAAAATCTGAGAATCCCCTCTAAAACATCCCTGGGTACAGAGGAACATAAAGTAGTCATTTGAAATGTACCAGCATCTGAAGCCACAGATGACATCTGAAATACAAATATTTTATGGAATATTTTGCTACAAATCTATCCTTCGGATGCCAATGAGAAGATTTAACTTTTTGTTATGTCATGTACACACTACTACATGGTGTAATAGGGCAGAGAATAAGTAATCAGCATTAACTGTATGCCAGAGCTTTAAAAAAACTGCAACAGTAATTACACACTATAATGAGGAAGTGAAATTAAAGAAGAAAAAAAAACCCACCTTGCAAAACAGTTTTAATAGTAAGTCAAAGGTTTCTAAATCATATTTAACCACTAATATCTTTGTCCTCCCAATTTCTCTTATATACAACAAAACAAAGTGCATATATTCATATTAATATTTGATTAAAATGTTAATAATTATAAAGACAATTAAACATTTGCAGTTTTTCTCCACTGGCTATTCTATAGTAACTGACTACTGTGGTAAATAGGGAGTACATATTTAGGTAAGGATGATCCTTTTATCCTTACACCATTAATATATTCCATTTGAAGAAACATGAACAAATAGAACTGCATGTGATTTTCTTTCCTATATAAAATTTTAAAAAAAATCCAGAACATTGCATGCATCTTTCCACCTTGCATTTAGTTTTCTCAGTCATTCTGTAATGAAAAGAGATTCACTGTTAGATGGATCCATATCTTAGTACCTTTAGAAAAAAGAATCTTAAATGATAACTTTTCTTAAAGTGATCAGGGCTAAATGTAGCTGCTGAGAATGGTTTTAATCTTCACAGACATTCACCTTGTGACTAAGATGATTATGTAGAACATAATTAGGTAATATAAAGAAACTAATAACATTTGGAGAAGATTACACTTCTCATAATGTGTTTTGGGTGCCTCATTATGAAGCAATTACTATTTACAAGTCCTGTCGATTTCAATGTGAATTTGGGAAATTTGGCTTGGAGGATAATTTAATAAATAGATGTATGAACTGTGCCATAGGCAAGAACTAAGAGATATTTGGATGACTAAAACATGTTGGTATGTTGTAAGAAACAAGAACAAAAATTGGCAAGCATCTATCAGGCATAATGAGGCTACTTGGAGCATGTTATTGATTTTATTTAATGTCAATTCTCTTGTGTTTCAGTCAATAAAACAATTAAATGCTGACAGGGGTCAGATTTTAAGATGGGGAGGGGAATCTTTAATCAAAAACAAAGAGTAAGTATGCAATTATCTTTCCTCCTTATGAGTATAATTACTTTGGAGTGCAAAATATCTCATTTGTTCTCACCTTTGCGTTTTTGCAGGTACCTAAATGGGTTGTTTTTTTTCCAGGCAATCTAACACTAATCTAATATTTTCTACAATGCTTATTTTATTATGGCCATGAAAAACTCATACAACACATTAATGAATCTGTCTTCATTTCAGTTTCTAAGATCTACTCACTTCCCTCTTGAACTGATGTCCACTACTTAATTTTCAGCCTTGTCTTTGATGATTTGCTTACATGTTCAGTAGTCTACTCAAATTCAGTTCATGGCCTTTTGTTCTCATATTAGATCTTTCTCATTATTTATACAGTCCAGTTCAAAATGCAGCTCAGAGTCACTTGGCAGTCACTTATGCTGCCAGCACTATGAAATATACCACTGCCACACTCTGTCTGAGGACACTAAAATATTGCCCCCGTCTCCCCCCATTCCACAATAGCTATGTTAGTACATTTCCAAGCACAGCCAAGCCCTTTGTTTTCCAGGAAGAAGCAGCAGCTATGGATAGGCAGGAGAAAGAAATGGTTAAAAATAAATAAATAGTACATTTTTTTTTAGTCTTTACCTGTCAGTTCAAGGGCTTTTTTTAGTTCAAGGTATGAGTACATGCTATTTTTATCATAGTCAAATTCTTGAAGTTCCTCTCTCTGAGGTGTGTCTTCTCCCAGGACATTTTCCATCTCACTGAATGTTAGGTATCCATTTGCATTTTTGTCAGCACCATAGAAGAAGACTTGGAGATCTATCCAAATAAAAAAGATTGATCAACATGTGTAAGGTTTTACATTTTGACTCAGAATAAACACCAAAATAATTCATTTGAGATTAAAACTGTAGGGGTTTCTAAAGATTCCTAGCCAGTCAGGCTTTTCATTTATACCTGAAAAAAATGTCATTGAAGTAACAGATTGCTATGCTGGTAGGGTTTTACAGACTGTAAACCGAATATGAATCAACAGTTTACCCTTACTGCAAAACAAGCCAATAGTGTTCCAGGTTGTATTAACAAGAGTAACACTTGTAAGTGAAGGAAAATGATTCTTCCACTCTATTCAGCTCTGATGAGGCATCTTCTGGAGCACTGTCTTCAGCTTAGGGTACCACGCTTCAGGGAAGACATGGACAAATTACAGAATCCAGCAGAGACCAACTGATGTCTAAGAAACATGACTTATGAAACAAGGTTGGAAAAACAGGGGTATTTAGTTTAGGGAACAGAAAATTGAGTGTGATTTGTAATCGTCAACAAATACCTAAAATATAGTTATAAAAAGAATGGTGATGTTTTTTCTAAATTTCTATGCGACACAGGGGACAGAAGCAGAAGAAGTGATGGTCTTTACTTTAGGCAAGAGAAATGTAGGTTAGGATGAACTTTCTATCTATGAGAGTAGTTAAGCATATGGTGGTTAAACAGAGTACCTAGAGAGGTTATAGAATCTCCATCGTTGGACGGTTTTAAGAGCAGATTAGATAAACCATTGATTGAGACGGTTTAGACGGGGCTGATCCTGCCTTAAGCAGTAGGTTGGACTAAATGATCTCCTGAGGAGATTCCAGCCATATTTTTCTATGGTTCTATGACTCAGCTCATACAGAAAGGGTCACACTGACTTGAACAGAATTCCTCTTGGGGCTCCCAGGAAACACAGTATCTTCTCAGCTACCATTTTAGCTTATGCGGCATGCACTCCTACCCACATTTGAATCCCTTGCCTTTTTCATGTTTTATCTTTTCTCTCTTTTCTTTCATTCCCTTAATCAATAGGCTTTCATTTTATGGCCCTGCCCAAGCAATTTAATTAGATAAAGGGAGAAAAAAGTTGGAATTCTCCTGCAACTTTAAAATGAACTAAAGTAAAGTAAATCAATTAGTTGTTTAATATTCCCAGAGCACCCAGCAGACAATATCTGAGAGCAAAGGACAGAAGATGAGGCCTCATAAACATCAATGGAACAATCAAAGCACGCATGGCAAAGCTCAAAAGAATATTATTTTTACTAGCCAATTGCCCGTCAGGAATGACCGGGGGGGGGGGAAGG